ACAGCACGAGCCCACTGTTTGGCTGGATCGATGCTGACTGGCTGGGAAGCCGTCTTTCCAGCCTATCAACATGGAGCCTGCTAATCAGGAATCTGGGAGGCGGATCATTACCCGCCGCCCCCGGCTTCCCGATTGGTCGGGGAGCCGACTCCATGCTGAGAAGCCAGCTTCCCGGCCAATTGGCATGGAGCTGGCCAATGCGCATGGAGCCGGCTTCCCAGGCAATCAGGAAGCCGGGCGGGGAGTCATTACCCGCCGCCCAGCTTCCTGATTGGCAAGGAAGCCGGCTCCATGTTCCCTCGCAGCACTGCCGGTCACAGGAAATCTCCCTCTGACCGGAAGTTCTGGTTTCAGGGAAGGTACTCGCCCAAATACTCAGTATAGGCAACAATACCGATACTAGTATTGGTGCATCCCTACTATATGGCAAAAAGTTGGTGGACACCTTACCATCACACCTATATGAGCTTGTTGGACATACCACTCCAAAACCAGGGCCATCAAAATGGAGATATAACTGCAAAGGGGGAGGGGGGCTTACAGCCTCTACTCTTCTGGGGTGCCTTTGCACAAGATTTCAAAGGGTGTCTCTGAAAATTTGGGCCAATTTAGCCAAATTACCATTTGTGAGGTCAGGAAGTGATGTTGGATGGGAAGTTTTTGCTTGCAATCACCATTTCAAAGGTGTTCAGCAGGGTTGAGGTCAGGGCTCTGTGAAGGCCACTTGTGCTCCTCCACACCTAACCCATCAAGGGCCTTCATCAGGCTTGGGAACACCACAAACTGTTTACATGAGGTGCACAATTGTCTAAAATAGTTTTTGCATGCTTTAGCACTGGGAACACCTGAACTAAACTCAATAATTTGGAGGGCTGTTCAAATTATTGGCCATATAGTTTAAATATGCCAGTTGAAAAGGAGGCAGGAGAACAGGGAGGTAGGTCAGAAGATATATTTGGAAGTAGATATAAATAGGCTTGGTAGGTAAAGCAAAGAGTAAAGCTAGTCATTCTTGGCTAGATTTCTCTCAACCACCCGATCCCCCAACCCACACTAAAAATAGCATGGATGGAGGAATCTACCCTGCCAGCTATTGTATTCAGACAGACGGTGCCTGTGGCTATCACAATACCTGAACTGTGACTGCAGCTGTTTGGATGCCCACCAAGATTATTATTCACTTTTCAGTTCATTAATTTGTTACCCTCTTTATAAGTGACTGCTAGCTCCTAGACTGGACTGAATAACTTTTTAATTTCAACAATAAGCTCAGTTTGCGTCCGGTGTCAGCAAAATTCAAACCTAACAGCTCAAAGCAAAACACTGACGCAAAATAAACCTGCTTGGCGAAAACTATAGAAAGATCATAGCTTCCCATTATAGAACTGCTGTTTTAGATGAATGCCTCCTTCTGGTCATACTTTTTCCGGTGAGAAACACAGGCACCGACATTCAGAAGCATCAAAAGCCAAAGAGTCTTATGGAAGCTGCAGTGCTGGAACGGAGGCAAGGAAGACATGGGAGAGGCGGGTATACGACGTCTTTTGCAGCGAACAGGTTTTGCCAGATCTTTAGAGTGATGACAGAATCTCTCTATTCAGGTCAACAATCCACCCAGCAATCCTGCTAGTTTAGCGCCTATGAATATTGCCTTGCTGTTGGCATATAGAAGATAGAGCATTTTTAAAAGTGATCTGGAGCACAATATTTGAGTTTTCAATTGGATCAAAGCAGCGTTTACTTTATTGTCCCATCTACAATACATCTCATTGCATTCTTGCAAATGTGTCTTGCCCGGTCTTACGGTGTTTTAGCTTTTATTTCTCTGCACAAGTCAATGGGAATGCTATGTAAATGCTTAGCACCCTTAAAAAGGTGATGCCCACTTACATAAGTCCTGAGAGTTCTATTGCTCTCTCTAGTAGAAAAAAACATTAGGTGAGAAGGGGATCAGGAAAACTAGAAAAGCAAATGAGATTATATGGAGACCTGCACTTTGACCAGAGTAGATGGTATTCCGAGGAGAGAACGTAGTTGTTAAAGGGCCATTCTTCCAGAAGATAAGGTGAGATTCTTCTGACAGATGACATTGGGGTCATCTCATCATCTGGCCTCTGTTACCTCCTGGTGACTGGGCAGTGGTGGCAGAACAGATACTGGTGAAGGCCTAAGGATAAGAGCGTCTACAGCGTTGCAATGGAGCCTCTGGTGATGCATAGAAGATGGGGGGTTAGCTCTGGCGTTGGGGGGCATCAGAGGTGCTGCTTGGGGAACATGAAAGAGCAGAACATTGATACCTGGTCTGCCCCGATTCCTCTGCAAGTTGTTCCCATATCTTTAAGGTTATTTGTTAAATGTAAGCAAAGATGCAAACAATTGTTTTCCGAAGGGTAATATACATAACCTCACCCTGACTCCATGTCAATTCTCCTTATTAAAATTGAAAAGTCCGCCCAAAATGGATCATTTAGGTTTGGGAGGTTGCTGGTGGGTTCAGCCAGTTGCTGGGGTGAGGGCAGAGCCAGGATTCTCATACTGTCCAGTGAGCGGACTCTAATAGCCAGCTGATTGCAGCAGCCATCATGTCTGTAGCCTCCAAATTTAGAGGATATTTACTCAGACCACTTGTCCTGGCAGAGTATGTAGGCAAGTGTTCCTAGCTTTCTGTGGCTCTGGGGTCATGCATCTTTCATCACTTTGCAGTTGCACTGGAGATCTGAATATGCATGCCCCCTGTATCAATGTAGCATTATAGCTTTGTGAAGGTCAATGTGGAGCTGGATTCCATTGGCTCCTGAGAAAGTGGCAACGCAAACAAACTGTAAGACTTTGCACACCTATTCTTTTGAAGCACCTGGAATAAATGTAGGCAATTTCAACTGAAAGTTCCTTTGGGCTGTAACATCTAAATCCATAAATGAACCAGAGTTCTTTTTTTAAACCATGTAGCACTTTGTCCCATCTTTCTAGGTGGTGTTGAAGCTGAGCTAGCCCGGACGGACGAAAGCACCCCCCCCCTTCTTCCACCGCTGTCCAACCATGCTGCTGGCAAGGAGACAAATATTTAATGAATGCTGATTGACCGCGCTGGTCACAGGTAGCAGAAGCACAAACACCATTCAGCACAGCGAGGGAAGGAGTCAGCAGAGAATACATGAATGACAATCGTAAATGCAGCTGGTAGTATACATTCCCCTACACTTATAATCATCAGTTGTCCCTGACCGGACTGTGTGATCGATCTGCCTGCTGCTAGTGATCCACTGCACAGTGTAGTGCATGCTTAGTAGCAGCCAGCAGATCGATCACACAGGCCCACCAGAGCCAAATGATCCTTACTGGTAGTTAACATTCCCCTGCACTTACAAATGTAAAGAATCAGTCAATGCTGATGGGGCTGTGAATAGACAGACATCCCATGGAATTTACACAAAGTGAGAATCTGTATGCAGAATGTATGCAAAGTGAGAATCAGAGAGTGATGGCTACAGTGCTGTGCTGTAGATCCTCCATAGGAATGCCCATGAATTGGGCTTCACCCTGATGGAGAGCTACAGCCAGCAAAAACAGAAATAAAAACTGGGCTCCTGATATACAACGGGGCTATGGATCAGAACAGGGACCAAGTGCTACAGGCACTTTGCTCCATGGGGGATTCAACAATGATTTTTAAGTTCTGGCGATACATCTTTAACCAAAAGGATCTCTAACATAGGTAGTGAAATATGTGATTTACTGCTTTATAGTATCTTTCGGATCACTTGCCTGCCATTTCATTCCACTCAAGTCAATAAATTCCTCCCAAAGTCTTCACCCCGGACTGGCATGACCATGTTCGAATAGGTATGCAAACATAACCCTACCGCCCCTAAATTGATTTCACTAGTTTACTCCCATTTGAATTCGCTGGCCTCTCCCTCACAACACACTTATGTCTCTAAAGTGGGAGTGTGACCTTGGGACAACACCATCACCGGAGGCCCGGCACCAGATCTGGTCTTCTATGGCCACATGTACCATAAATGTGACCTCACTAGAGACCGCCTTCCAATCCCTTACTAGATGGTATCTGGTACCTTCCAGACTAACCCATTTTCACCCTACACACTCGGCCGCCTGCTTTCGGGGATGTTTGGCCCGGGGTGACGTTCTCCATACATGGTGGTCATGCTCCATGCTTGCCAGATTTTGGACAAAAGTATTCAGTCTATTGAGCAATTTATTCTCTATACCAATTGCCAAGGACCCGTGGTTGGCTCTTTTACATCTCAAACCCTCGAACCTCACTAGAAACCAACACCACTTGACTACCTATATACAGCTGGCAGCTAAACAAGCTATCGCCTGCGCTTGCAAAAAGCAGTTTGTCCCATTTGATGAAGTCAAGCGGCGGGTGGATTCCTTCTTCTAAATGAAAAATTTACGAGTATTTTTCGGGATACTAATAAGAAATGTGTGAAGATCTGACAGCCATGTATCGATTACCCACTTTCTTCTCTGCCCCCAGACAGTTTAACGTCCCTCTAGGCTCTGGATCTCTCTATTAATTCTAGAACCTCTTTGCCACCCCTTAGACTCTTCTAGATCTTTTCTCCCCCGGACTTTCGGGATCTCTCTTTCTTTCTTCCATTTGTCAGCTTCTTCCGATAGTTGCTCTCTTTCCTTTTCAAAGTCTACAGATTACCAATTTGTATACTCAACTTGTTGTATCGCATGGCATTCCTGTACGTGTTTATATCCTGTATTTGTACTCAACAATGCCCTTCTACTGTATACTGTTCAATGATTATACTTGAAATATCCTAATAAAAAGTGTGAAACAAAAAATGTCCTGGGGAGAACACGCCCGGCATCGTCTCTGAAACCAGCAGGTGACTGAACTCGCAAATGTCTACCAAAACCATAGTTATACGTTTATTCATAGTGATCAACATTAATCCTTTCTGTAACTGCTTTCAGACTATGTCGAGGCCGACAGCAAGCTGGAGCGGCATACTTACAAGAGGAAACAGAGAAATTTCACTTGCTCAGATGTCCTGAGGCAATCAAAAGGAGAGAAGAGACAGCACAGGAAAGGTGAAAAGATACAGAGATCGCAGAAGCGGGGGAGAGAAATCAGTTGCTCTCAAGTCAAATATTATATAACCACATATTATATATGAAATGGCTGCTTACAGTTAACCACTATGGGATGAGCGGGTAAATGTGGAGGCACAGAAATTATGAGTTATCAAGCATTTAATGTTAAAGGGTGCCAGGTCATTTTCTGCTAGACATAAAAAGGTCTAAAGGCAAGCAGTGTATATGGGAAGCGTAGTTTTTCCCCATGTTTGACGAGCCATCTTGATAGGAGCACACCTATTATTCTAAAGCAAATACACTATATGGCCAAACGTTTGTGGATACTTGACAAGAACACCTACTATGTGGCCAAAAGTATGTGAAGACCCTCTGCTAATTTTTGAGTTCAGGTGAAGGTAATTTATACGGCATGAAAAGAAAACTGTGTTCTTCCAACCATGTGGTAACAGTTCAGGGAAGGTCCTTCACTATTTCAGCATGACTGTCCCATGCATGAAAAGTGAGGCCCATAAAGACATGGTTTGACCAGTTTGCTGTGGAGGAACTTGAGTGTCCTGCACAAAACCCTACTGAATGCCTATTGGAACACTGATTGTGATCCAGGTCTTCTCATCCAATATCAGTACCAGACCTCAACCCTACTGAACACCTTTGGGATGAATTGGGAAGCTAGTTGTGAGCCAGATCCTCTCATCCAACTTCAGTACCTGACCTCACAAAGCTCTTTTGGCTGAATGGGCACCAATTTTCACCAATACACTTGAAAATCTTGTGCAAAGCCTTCCCAGAAGAGTGCAGGTTGGTACAGCTGCAAAATGGAGAGGACATTTAGATGAGATAGAGAACCCACTGTTTTGGCTGAATGGGCACAAATTCTCCCAGGCACTCTCCAAAATGTTGTGGAAAACCTTTCTAAAGGGTGGAGGCTGGTGTGATAGTCTTTGGGTCCACAAACGCTTGACCATGCAGTGTGAGAGTATAGAAGGCACTGCCCATCAGACCAAAGTAAGAAAACTGTTATTGCATTTTGAAAGGGTTATGCAAGCCTTCCTTTATTATATCAATAAAGACCCAACCTCTTCATTAAGCTCCACCTTTCATGGATGCATGTTACCATGGCAGCAGAAAGGAGTTTAGGTTGTAGAAGAATAACCTATTACTTATACTGATGGTGTGAAATTACAGTTCATTGTGCCAACTATAGCTTATCTGCTGTCAAAGTATCAAAGAAACAGCCTAGCAGCAACACCGGACTAAAACACGCCTTCAATCAGCAGTAAAGCCACGGATAGAGGTGGGAAGATGCCAAGTCATCACCTCAAACTCGTTGTTGTGTTCCTCTAACCATTCTTGCAGTGGGACAGGGCGCATTATTGTGCTGACAGAGGCCACTGCCAACAGGGAATACTGTTTCCATGAAGGGGTGTACTTGGTCAGCAACATTGTTTAGGTCGGTGGTATCTGTCAAAGTGACATCCACGTGAATGGCAGGACCCAAGGTTTCCCAGCAGAACATTGCCCAATCACCACACTGCATCCTCCACCTTGCCTTCTTCCAATAGCACTAATGTTATGGCTGATCGGTGTGTGTAGATTATAAAAAGTCCCTTTTGAATGAACAAAACCTTTCCCAAAACTCCTTTTACTGCTTACTGCATATCAAAACACACACTAAGGTCTGCCTTGTCCTGCTGGCATGTTACCAAGACATCCTCTAGGAGGTTAGGTTTTTGGACTGTTAGGTGTGCCAGCCACATCATAGGATGCAGAAAACACACTGGAGGATGAAATGTGAGGTCATCTGATTTCTAGCAAAATATGTGTGCGCGCCTAGGCACTCCTGTACGTATAGCCTCATAATTGAATGCCTGCAATGTGAGATCTAAGGCACACCTATCACCGACTTCTAGCCTCTGGAGATTTTGTGCTCAATGTTCTCCTTGGTGGTGTCTCTGAGGAAGCAAAGCCCTGCCAATACCAAGACGTAGTCTTAACTCATGTTATGTGAGCATAGGGGGAAAGGATCAGCTGCAGGGGACCATAGGCAGTACTTACGACTGGTCCTTTGCCCTCTGCTTGCCTTTATTTGGGCACTGCTTCTAGAATTCATCGGTAAAGACATCAGTGCTACAGACACCCATGTCTCCCACAATCTCACCTCCATTTCACCAGCCTGCCAACATGCATACATAAGTGGGGCATGCCTTATTTATGACAGAGTGGCTTAGGGAGATGGGTGGGCAGGACTCCAATGTTACACATGGAGTTAGCGATGTGTTGTACAAGTAATGCAGAGGAAGGTAGAGGAGAAGAAGCCAATAGATACAAAACCAGCGTTAAAGAGACCCTGTCACCATCTTTAAAAAAATGGAAGTAAAAGCCAAGAAAAATCCACTGCTTTAAATGCTTGCACGCAGTGTTTTTCCTCTCTAAAAAAAAATTTGTATTCACTTGCAATGTGCCTTAGAACTTGCTGAATATTTGACTACTCCAGGAAAGTCAATTCCTTAGCACTCCTTGCAGGTCGTAGCCCTTCCTCTTCTGTAATGGTCTAATTACTCTCTGTGCTGGCCCAGCTCTAGCTCCATAAATCTTTATGTAGCTGCAGTGGAAGGGGAATACTATAGAGTGTCACTTGAGTGACAGTCCCGAGTCTGTGGGGCTGCTGACATCACATCCAAAATGGCGGCCTCCAGCAGCAATTTCGGGGCTTTTTGGATGTCTACACAAGGGAGGCTTTTATGGGTAAATAAAATATGTCAAATGCACATATAATCTTATGGGAAGCCTTTTGTTAAAATGAATAGTCTGGTGACAGGGTCTCTTTATTGAATTTAGCATTCATGCAGAAAATCTTGAAAATTATAAAGAGAGTGAATCGGAGACATCAACAACTTATTGTGCAAAACGAATAAGCTTTAGATTCGTTCTCTGTGGTGCTTAGACACAATGGCATCAGATCATTTGGTTGATAGTATGAGCATTACTTATAATTGCTCATAATGGATAACTGATTGTGCGGAGTACGTAATCTGTATAATAGCTTATTATGTTGGTGCACTCATGGGACACAACTTCAAAATAGAACTAAAAGGAAACTGGAAACATAATGCCCCCATCCATGCTAAACAGCGTGGATGGAGGAATCTTCCCTCCCGACCCTGAATACCCGAACAATGGCTGAATTTGCTTGGATTCAGTCGCAGCTTGGCTACTAATTGGACACCTGGCTCCTCCAATTTTCCAATCGAAGTTTGTTGAGCAGAGTGGTACCAACAGGGCCACCCACAGCTCGAATTTGCATCCCATTCAACAAATTTGCACTGTGTATGGCTACCTTGAGTATCAGCTAATGAGCAGGTTCAGCTAATAGTCTTCAGACCTCCCAGTAAAGGTGCCAATTTGCACAAGGAGAAAATAACCGATATTCTTTCAATCCTGAAATCTGCTTTTTTTGATGGAATGAAGTAGTAGTCCACATCCACACACCCCTAAATAATTCATGCTTGCTGGACAAACATTTGTGTCAGACCGGTGTGTTCCAGCAATAGGACCTCAGCAGACTGAAACAGCCAGGGAAACTAACCTGAATTATGTATTATGGGCACCCACCATGCAGCATCTTGGAACACTAGCACATTTAATGTATGTATATCAAACAAAATAAGGAACAGAGTCTTGAAGAAACTTACGTTATTAGACGGGATCTGCCCAACTTTGGTGACGATCTTGGACTTCTCCTTGGTGTAGTTTCCTGGGCAAGATCAGTGTCTGAACTGGAGAGGGTCTTGCATAGCTTAGAATGATCCAGAGGGCCATCGCTGAGATCTTTGTTGAATCCACAAGGTGCTTTTGTAACAGTAGGAGATGACGACAAGGCTGACTTTCCCCCAAATGGGTTGACGTTGGGATCCTCCCACTGGCTTGGATCGAAGTTATAGGATGATCTTGGGAGGGGAAGGTCGTCCGAATCTGCATTTGTCTCCAGGTTATTCTCCTGCTGCCCAGCTTTTTTTGTCCTGTTGGAACTTTCTTTTTGTATCCTGGATGGAAGCTTGCTCGTAGGTTTCCGGATTCTCTTCGGGGACGCTTTCTTGATATTGGCATTTGTTTCCATTAGTGAGTTCTGATTGTTAAGATCTCCTTCACAGGTATCCACTGAGGTCCCATTGTCTGTCTGAAGGCCATTGTTGTTGAGGAAATCTTTATTCCCATCCCTTGAGCTTTCTCCATCTGTTAGGTTCTGCTGAGGTCCCATGTCATTGCCTTGGTCATCTTGTTCTGAAAATACATTATCTACAAGTGGTTCTTCAGTTAGCTGGACCACAGTTTTTTCAACAGAGGAATCTTTAACCTCCCCGACTGAAATCCGGGTAAAGGAACCACCAGTGGAAACCTCAGGCTCAGCTAGACTCCTGTCTATAGTCAAGTCGCTGGTTGCCTTCCTACCAAAGTTTGTTTCCAAGTTGCCATCAGTTAGTAAGTTGTTATTATCATTTATGGTCAAGTCGGATAAGAGTTCTGTGACATCTGTATCTGTTTCTGGAAATTAGAAGAAAAAAAAAGTCAAAATGATTAATTTGTCTCATAACAGGTATTAGAGCTTTGAGAAGTAGAAGTCTTACTTTTATGGGAAGGGGGTAGGGGAGAACTGAAAACGTTCCGCCTGGTAGGCAAACAAAACTCAACCAACTGGCCTTTTCATGGCAAGGGTTGTTTCCTTTGGGCTAAACCAAGTGCACCATACAAAGTGTACAGTGACTGGTGGCCTCGGGGAAAGATAGGCGTGGTCTTAAGGATGGGCTCAGGCGTGTTCGCAGCTCCACGTGCCGAGCCCGCCAGGAAGCTGACAGCACCAATCACAGATAATGAGACATTTTCCCGGTCCGCAGCTGCAGAGATCGTGAAATGTCTCAGTGCCTGTGATTGGCGCTGCGGCGCTGTCAGCTTCCTGGCGGGCTCGGCACGTGGAGCTGCGGACACGCCCGAGCCCATCCTTAGTCTTAAGCTGGCCATACACCTATAGATTATCTGCAGGTTTTCTATGGTCAGATGGAAAAAGTTCAACAGTTTCCTCCATCTACGCTAAACTGTGCGGATGGAGGAATCTCCCACTGGGCCAAGCTGCAGTATGTTGCTAGTAGGCCCGGCTGGCTCTCAAAATACTTCAACAATGCCTGCATCCAATCAGATTGTTCAGGTATTTTGAGAGCCAGCGGGGCAGACTAGCAAGATACTGAAGTTTGGCCCAGTCAGAGATTCCCCCATCCACACAGTTTAGCGTAGACGGAGGAATCTGTTGCACTTTTCCATCTGACCATAGAAAATCTGCAGATAATCTATAGGTTTATGGCCAGCTTTAGGGAATATGGCTTATTGGAACACACCTTTGCACACAAAGAAAAGAGGAAAAGGGGAGACTGTATGGGAGTAATTGTAAACGAGGAAGTACTGTTACGAGACCGATATGGCGGCTGCTCTGTGAAAAGGATATGGACTCCCCTATATAAAATAATATATAATATGCCATCACCACAAATAATCCCCATTGTTCAGTTTACGTTAACAAATGAGCACAACACATCTCATAGTACACTTCATAGTTTCAATTCTTCCGGCACCCACTTTCTTTGCACCTCTCTGTATTTGGTGTCACAACTCACAGCCACAAAGAAGTTGATGCTGGAAAATCTGAACATATGAATAGGGAGCAAGTAGCTAAACTAAATGGCCAACGGCAGTCGAGGACACTGTAGGCTCCACTCTGATAGGGAGTAACTCCAGTCAGAGACCCCAGCCCAACTTATACTATTTGTACTGGCCCGTTTTAGACCTTCTCCACTAGTTTCCTTTGTTCTGGTTCCCACTCTGAATCCCATACTGCATTGAAGATAACTGCCTAAATACACAGTCTTAGTATATATAAAAGCCACAAATAGCTGGAAGGCAACAAGAGTATACAATTATATTACAAATACTCGACTTTCAAGTTGGGCCAGAAAAAGAGAGATTGCTGCAAGTAAAACCTTAATTGCTACAATTAAAATAAAGCGGTCATTGAATCCTTCCAATCCCGCATGCCGTCCCAGGTAAGACTACATAAGACCAGGACATAAACCAGGTACAGGATTTCCTAAGTGGTAGCAGAGTCTTCAAGATAGGCATTTTGTGATAAGTTACATTTTACAACTCCCCCCCCCCCCCCCACATGCACAAAATATTAAATTTTTTTTAAAACACACAGCCCAGGCTTTGTTACATAAACTGTAATCTGCATTGCAAGGAGATTTAACACACATCTTAGTAGATCCTGCAATGATCTGATGAACAATGACATTATTCTTGGACTTGGATTTTGGTCTGGCACACGTTATACAACTTCTTATTCATTAAAGGATAAAAGGTGGAAGGCTCAGTGAGCTAAACCTGAGGGCTGGAACAGAGACATTTTACACAAAGCTCAGGACAGACTTCATTGAAGAAAAACCTTTAATTTATTTTATTGTGTGCCCCATTGAGGAGATCTACCTTCAAACCTTGCCCCATAAATGCCACAGGAAATGGAGGAAATCTTAAAAGTGAAGGAAAATCCCCTTTTAGGTAGTGGTCACCAGAACAGTGTCCCGCGGAGCTGATTTGTGAATGAAAAGACCACCACGGCAGAATGATTGGAAGGTCTCAATGGAGCACAAGTGTGATGTCATATGATTACTTTCTCCAGTCCCATAACAGAATGTCTGTACCTCCAAAACAGACCTGGGACTGGAGGAACAGTCTGCAGGGGCCTTTACATTGCACCCTCGATCCAATGATCGTGGCTGCAATGCATTGCAGCCTTCAATTTTCAGCAGTGCACTACAATGCAATACATGCTTGCTGGGATAGTGCATTGGGTGCCATTTAAAATAAATGGCCCCACCGCATACGACATGGATTGCCACCGATTACTGCAATGCAACGGTTTGAAAGGGCCATTACTGAATAGCAGCAGGGGTCATCGCTGGACATATTTTTGCGAAAAATGCTGTTAAAAAAAAAAAAATGCTTACAAATAAATAAGCCCCTTTTATACAACACTGATTGTATCCATGCACCTGTAAGCCAACTCCTATTCTATTTCTAAACAATTCACGGAAACAGTAGCCCTGTGAAACTCTGTGTACATGCCTTCTGTGTAAATGGAGGATATATATATATATCCTATTTTTAGGCCAAATGTAACACTGCGTTATGGCCATTAGATGGAGCTGAGGAGCATAGGAAATATATATTTATATTGTCTGCTCCTCACCGCCATCTAGTGGCCATCGAGCAGTATTTCCGATTAATACAATCGACCTGAAAAAGAAAAAGGAAAGGAAAGGAAAGGAAAGAAAAAAAAAAAAAGAGAGAATGGAGAATATTACTTGTTGCCTCTACGCACAGGATGAACGTTCACAGAGATTTTCAGGGCAAATGGCTCTGCAAAGTGTTTATAAATAGACCCCTAAGTGTTCTTTCCACTTACAATGCAAGAAAGTGCTATAAGAACATCCTAACGTTATAAAACAATACATAGGTCTTCTGTTACAATACATCTCACATGTAGCCATTTAGCTGCAGACAAATTATCTTGTTAAAAACCTAGAAGCATTGTAAATGTTAACTAATGCTCTTACAGCCACACTGGAGCCTAAGGCTAGCCATACACAGCATGATTTCCTAAAATCAATCGATTCCCCTGTCCATGCTTTATAGGGTGGATCGATTAATCCCCGCTGTTGGCCATTGATGACTAGTCTGGCCGTGGCATCACCAAACATGACTGCATCTGATATGTTATCTGATGGATATCCATTTGGTGAAAGTCGGCCGTCACTACAGTCACTTCATTTCAAACTCAACTCAAATTGGCTACAAAATGTGTAAACTGCTTGAGGAAACTGACAACTATCCCCTTCTTCTGGGAGAATAAAATGGGATTCTGACTGTTTCATGGGAAATACACAGTAACATATGGGCAATAACCTGTACAGTCATACTGCATCAATTGACATTACACCTAAAGATAATGATTGGGTACTAAATGTGCATTAGAGAGGAATGAGCCGTGTAAGTGCTACCAAGGCCCAGTATTTATCATTGAGCATCTCAGGCTACACCGGACATGCCTTATAAATCACAGAAGCATAAAAGCTGAAGCCAATGAAAGCTCCGGCACAGAGCAGCCGAAGATACATAAAACCCAATTGGCTGATATGATAAATTGCTTCACTTCTGCTCCAGATTTCACAGCCCAGCAATTAGTGCTACACAGAGAGACGGGCAGCATCAATATAGGGAAGCACAGCCGCTCACGTCCGTGCAGTGGTAACTATTTCTAGTGGCATTATCATAATTTGCTTCATCCAAAAAGACACAGAAAATGAGGTCAGCACGGGTAATAGTGTCTGATTTAATGTCAATCAAACATTCCCCTCTACATGTTTCTAGGACATTGCAGGAAAATTAAAGTACAACCCATTGGTGGCTATTTGCATTGAGAATGGCTCTATCATACTGGTTCCTGTGACCTATTTATCAAAATATAGATGCAGTCGTGTCAACTCGACATAAAGTCCAGTGAGTCACATTATTTTATCCTGCCACCCTGCATAATGTTCAGATTTATCTTCATTCCTCTTATTCACCAAAGAGTTGACTCTTCCCCCTTCCCCCAGGATGACCCGCATTTTCCAAGAAGGTCCTTATATGCTTATACACTTTATTGCCAAAAGTATTGAGACACCCCTCCAAATCATTGGATTCAGGTGTTCCAATCACCTCCATGGCCACAGGTGTATAAAATCACGCACCTCGGCATGCAGACGCTTCTACACACATTTGTGAAAGAATAGGTCGCTCTCAGGAGCTCAGCGACTACAAGCGTGGTGCCGTGATAGGTTGTCACCTGTGCAATAAGTCCATTCGTGGACGGCCTTACCCAAAATAGTTGAAGCCGTTATAGCTGCAAAGGGCGGGCCAACTCATTATTGAACCCTAAGGACTAAGACTGGGATGCCATTAAAGTTCATGTGCGTGTAAAGGCCGGCGTCCCAATAAATTTTGGCAATATAGTGGATGTGAAAAATGAAATAAATGTGCGTTTTGTTGTCCTATATGGGTGCAATCCTCAATATCCCTTACATGGATCTGTCGCAAGTACCGCCATTTGCTGCTCTACCATGAGAATGACTTCTAAAGAGGAGCCGCGACATTTTATGAATTGCAGGGATTCATTTTCTCATAATTAGACCAGAATTACATTAGCAGTTCCGTGCAGACCAATTGACAGCATCACCCCAAATACAAATGCAACTTAAAAATAGTTACTTTCGGTGAAATGAAGTTCTAGAAGCAAAAATCTCTCCTTTGGAATGTGTGGTGTGATGGCGACATATCATGCTGGGTTGTAAACCTTTGTCTCTCTCGGGGAGGATTTCCCCGATCCCTCCTACCCTGAAAAGGTTTTGTATTTAAGTCACGGCGTGAGACACTGCCTACATTGTTCAGATTTCCTTTGT